TTTATTTGTACTGAATCATGGTTAGTATTAATGTTTTGTTTTAAATTGCAGCTTATAGTTAATGATGTGGAGCCAACGGATTCAGAGTTGTTGTTGGGCAGTGTGAAAGAGCTGTTTAAGGGGAAAGGCACATCTGCAGTGAAGGCCAGGAAGAAGTTGTCACTTAGCATTTCAAAGCGTTTTCGAAAGGTTAAGGAAAGGCAGATGAATATACGCGATGCGTTTGTTAGGCAGAAGACTGCGGGGGAGGCATGTGGAAGTGTGTTGAAGCGTAAAGGGAAGACGGTGTGTGTGGAAAATAAGGATAGTGAGCAGTTGGATATGGTGAAGGAAATCAAGAAGATAAAAGAAAAACAGGATGCGCAGGACAAGAAACTGGATGAAATCTTGGGCATTCTTCTGCAAAAAACAGCGAATGTTGAAGCCGGCTCTGCGTCTGGGAAAGGGTCTTTGATGGGAGGTAATGAAGAACCTAGGGTCCGGAATGAAGGTATCACTATTGAGGGAAATACAGATGTTGAGGGTAAATGTGGGGTTGATTTGGATTTGAGTTGTGACGATGGGGGCCCATCATTTGATCTTTTAACTCCATTGCCTAGGGTCGATGCAGTTGGTGCTGAAATAAGAAATGACAAGAGTGGAAATGTTTCGGTGACAGAAGCTTGTGACCCTGTAAAGGAGGGGACGTGTCTAGATATTCCATACACTGAGACACAATATGATCCACACTTCCTGGAACTTATTGACGTGCAGGAAGAGATGTTCAAAAAGTCTTTACAAAATGCAAGCAGTGTAATGTGTTTTTTTAATGTATACCAAGGGTTTTTTTTTATATCATGATTTTGGCCTTATGATTGTATGGAATAGCAGGGTCCTATGGTTTCTTGCGAAGGGATTGTTGGGCAGGATGCAATTCAGGGATGGTGCAAGAGAAGTGTTAGTGGTGATGATACTGCCAAGACAACTGGTAACACTACAATGCCAAAAGAGGTGCATGTACCAGTGGATGTTGAGTCCGCATTTGGGGTTAGATTTCTGTGTTCATATTTCTGGGAATGGACTAATAATTGATCTGTCCAGTGATTTAGTTTTTTTCCAAGATGTTTTTGGGTCACTAACATTTCCCTTTGGTGTGATTTTATATGTGACGTTGATTGTGTACAGGGGTCGAGCGGTTCGAACAAAGGGAATCTTGGGCAGCACATCGATGGTGGCAAGCGTAAACGTAGCTTGGATGACGATGATTTTGAAAGATTTTTTACTAGCAGCGGGGTGGGAAGTGGGGATCATGGAGTGAATGGTGCTCAAGATGCTTTGGTGGTTAGTGTGTTTGCAATATTAATAGTGGGAATGTTTACTTGTCTATTTAGGATGATGAATTCCATTACTTGGCAGAATGATGTTATGGCATTGTGTAGTGTCCTATATGGTGTTTTTTATCCTGTTACGGGTGTGGTTCTATTGTTTGTTCAGGTGTTTTCCAAAGGTTCAGATTCCATTACTGCATGTGTTGAGATTGATCGGCCCAAAAGGGTTCACAAGAATCCGGAGAGATATACTCCCACAGAAGTCGAGCATCATAAGGAAAAGCGGAAACTGGAGAGGATGGAGCGTGCTAAGCAACATATGGAACGTGTTAGGTTGGAGGTATGCCATGGGCCCTTTTCAAAAGATCCAATGGCGATGCTTGCGGATGTGGAAATACAAAAGGTGAGAGAGTTTTTGAATGAAGGACTGCTGAAAAGGCATGGAAGGGGGAACAGGACATGTCGGTATACAAGTAAGGAGGAGAAATTGACGAAAAGTCCGATTGTCCTTGATGGTTTTAAAGTGGAGAACAAAACATGGCTCTATGAATTGTTTACGAACACAGAGTGGTTGCGCAGCACGGTATGATTTAAATTTTGTTTTTTTATGGTTGTTTGTTCTGAGAACGTATGTGAAATAGTCTGTTGGGGGGGGTGTGGTTCGTTTTAATGTCAGGGGCATTGGGGGGGTTGTAGAATTTTGGACCCTTCCAATGACAAGACATGTGGGTTTGGGTTTTTTTTTGGAGTGCTGAATTTTGTGCGATGTGTTTTTATACAGCATGTTGAAATAGTAATGCATTTCCTGGAAGTGAAAGGTAGGCAGTATAACCTCTTGCAGATGTACACAACTATAACCCCATACTTCTTGCAAGGGTTGTATAATCATCAACAAAAGGTAATTGTTGGCAAGGCCAAAAAGGCGGAAGTTGTCAATAATCGGAATCTAAGCAGTGAGGTGCTGGGGTTGGCACGAGAATATTCTAGGCCATGGTCTGAGTGTGATTTTGTGTATATGCCCCTAAATACGAGTGACCACTGGATTTTGCTTGTCCTAGAGGTTGAAGGGAGGACAATACGGGTATACGATTCAAAAGGAAGGAAGGGAAAGAGTTCCCGGGCATTGAACGAATACGTGGAATGTATGACAGAGTTGCTGCCTGTCCTGCTTAATTTGTTGAGTGTATATGATGAGCACTCCGATGGCCCAATGGGGAAAAAGAAGTTCAATATCAAGGTCGTTGATGAGTGTCCGCAACAAGATGACGGGTATGTGGTACATTTAATTTGTAACATATCGTCTGAAGTTGCATTTCAAATTCATTGAAACTAGCCGGATGATCAATGATATTAAGAATGGTGTTTTAAACTGCAGGTGTAACTGT